ATATTGTTTACCCCACTGTGTAGCATATATATGTATATTCTAGTTTACATTGATTGACACTTGAAATGTTTGCAAAAACTTCCACACCCAAGTTTACCACAAGAATGGCAACGATTTTTGGGCTGAGCTGTTTCGCCGGAGTTGGATGATTGTTTGTGTACATTGTGTGATGCAACATCAGGCAAACGAATTCGAATGGCTTACCGTGCAACATGTGAAGAGTTCCGGGCTGGAAAGCACATGCCAGGTACCAGAAATTTGGTGGCCCCAAAACTGAAATGCAACATAAACGGCGGTTCGAGTATATAAAAAAAGTGAAGCATAAAATGAATGGACAAGTCCGGATTTGAACCGGAGACCTCTCGCACACAATCGTTTGCTAAGCGAGCGCGCTACCAACTGCGCTACATGCCCTTGTTTAAGATGGCTGGAATAGACTTATTATCGTCTGACCCTCGAGGCGTCATGTGCATCGATAATCAGTGTCTGCTGCGTGCTTGTCGCCAATGCTCCCGAAGCCAAACCTCGTCATAATTGATTATTTCCTCAAGCATGCCGACATGTTCCGTACATGTTGATGACCCCCACAACGGCAACTCAAGCCCGCCGTCTCAACCAAGCTGCGAATGAGAACGCCTGCCGGTAATGCCAACCCCACGCTGGGGTCTCAGTCTCCGGGCTCCAAACGGGCGCCCAGACTGGCACAACGTGGCGCCGACTCTAAAAGCGTAATCAGCCTTGGCGAGTCGTGTGGGTGTCGGGCAATTGCGGGCTGGCGACGATGACGGTGGGGGCGCCATTGGCGAGCGCGCGGGGGGCACATCCACCGGCTAGTCAAGCTGCCGAGTTGTTAGTCAGTGCAGCTACGGGACGAGACGGGACCCCGGCGGGTGCACCCGGCTCGACTGGACAAAGTAAAATGGGATGGCCAGCGACAGTGCGGGGCCCCAGAATAGCAAGGCAGGCGTCGGGGGCGCGCGAGGATCGCTGGATCCGTCGGCCGGGGCAGCGAAAAAACGCGAGCTAAATAGGCGCACGTGCGAGCTGAAAAAGAGCCCGGACCACTCACTTTCAACCCTCACTGCCAAACCGACGCCGGCCGCACCCGAGGGGCCAACGGTCCTATCTCTCTAGACGACGATTGGGCGATATTCTCATGTCGCTGCTCGAACAAGCCCGCCACCGCCGCGAGCAGCTCCAGCAAGAGCACCGCCCGCTGCCGCCGCTCCACCCGCCGCTCCCGTCCATCCACACCTTTGCGCCCCTGCCCGCCCCTGTCCCCCGCCCCGCCGCGTTTGCCGTCGCGCACCGTACTCAGGACGGCAAGCAGGCCTACGACTACGGTGATCTGCACGAAACAGCCAGCGGCGGCGGATACAGTTACTATTCGAGTGCCCAGACCCCGGCTCCGCGCGACCCCATGTTTCGGTAGGTGCTCTCTTGCGTGCCGACGCTCATCTCACACTGTACAGGCCGCGTCCCTCGTTCTCCATCACCATCGCCCCCGCCCAACCCCACCCCCCGCCGCGACCTCACCCACCCCCATCCCGCAAGTTTGTCCACCCACCCGCGACATATGTGCCTCCCGCGCATCCCCACTCGCATCATCTACACTCGATCCCCCCGCGCGACAAGTCCACACGTACGCTCATCCTCGACCACCTGCTATGGATGCACGCCCGCGCCCGCTTTGGCGCTGCCCGCGGCGAACTTGGCGTCGGCACGCGCCCACACCTCGACGCCAAGGATGCCTGTCTAGAGACGCTAGAAGATCATGGGGTCATGGGGCTTGGTTTGTTTGAAGAAGGCCTCGACAAGCTTTCCTATTCATCCCGAGCGCAGCCACCCCCAGTCGATGCTGATCCGGATGCACTCACGCTCGGCCCACCTGACCTGGCGCTGGCGGCCGCGTACCGTGCCAAGGCTACCGGTCTTGAAAAAGTTCTTACTGCCATGCTCGACCAGGCTCCCCAGCCCGACCCAAGTCCCGGGGATGACATGGTCATCGATAGCGGACTTAGTACCAGCCCAAGCAGCTCCCGAAGTAAGTCCACCACTCACTTCCGGTCCTGAATCTCATTTGGTCCAGGCGTAATCCCTTCGGTTTCCCAAAAGCTGCCAAATTCCGTCCGCCTTCGCCTCGCGCTGTCCCTCCTCGTAAACGAGCTGTTCTCTCCCGAGCCTGAGCCTGCCACCCCCGCACAGTCGGCAACCACCCCACCCGCGCTTCTCTCACTTTCTCAACTCGCTTCCCCGCCTTCAGCTTCTCTCTGTCCGCCTTCCCCGCCAATTACGGCTCTTCCCTCATTTCATCAACTCACTTCGGGCCCGCCCCCTCATCCTCAAAGCATTTTTCAAACCATCCCCCGAGGGCAAGGTATCGAAAGCCCTTGGACATATCAGGCTGGTACATCTGGCGCCCCGACCTCGACTGCGTTTCGTGACGGCGTGGTGGATGACCTATATGCTCAATACCAGGTTGGACGCTGCGCCCGCCATCTCTCGCGGACGTGCCAGGTCCCCGCGTGTGCATACGTTCCTGCGCCGGGTACAAGCATGAGTAGCACCAGTCGCCCGGCGATGATCCTAGGCGTGCAACCCGGTCGGACGAGCACAATCGGTGCAGGACTCGGCAGGCCGGGCGGACCTCCGCTTCGGCTACCCCGATCTGCGGGAGCAGGGGTGAACATGAGCACAATGCGGATGAGCATCAGCCCGCCGGGGGGTAGCTTGGGTATTTCGGGTCTAGGTTCAGGAATGGATTCTGTAGCCGGAGGTCGGCTCACGGCGCTCATCTCGCGCTTCCTGCGCCTCTCTGCGCTGGTCGCCATCGAGCTTGGGCGCGAGGCACGGGGCGAGGAAGATGGTATTCGCGGCGCAAGTAGTCGATCAGCGATGAGCCCCCCGCCAGTCAAGATTCCCAACGCAGGCCCGTACTTGCCAGCTTCGAGCGGCTCGAGCACCGACGAGTCCGACGACGAGATGGCCGAACCCCCGAAGAACGGAGAGAGGAAACGGGCCAAAGTCGGATCATTCTCGGCAGCTTCCGGACGGCCGATTGCTGGTTCGCTGCGCGCAGGGGGTAAACTCAAGGCTCGGGCGTCCACATCCAACGTCCGGCCAGTGTCGTCCAACGGCCGGACAACTCCGACCCCGGCACCACCCGACGCACGCCCGTCGTCGATATCGGACCTGTCGCTACATGCGCGTCCGACGCGCGTGTGGTACGCGCTTCTATGCGGTCTTGTCACGCGCGCGTGTCTAGAGGGGTATTTGATGCGTGGGTGGCGCGGGACGATGGGAGCCGAGGTCTTATTCAGGTTGGGTGTACGGCCCGAGGACGGGCCGAGTTACAATGGTCCAATCGGTGTGGATATCATTAGCACCGGAGGCGGAAACCGGCCAACATTCAACGGAGCCAGCCGAACGCCGAGCGCGACTGACGAGCGAGAACTGGCAGCATACGAGGCGCGAGAAAAGGCGCTCGCTGACATGTATGATCCTGACGAAATGCCGACGCTCGCTGAGGCTGGGAGAATCCTGTTCAACCGCGAGAGCGGTGGGGAGGAAGAGAGCGAGTGGGAACGCGAGGTCCGGAACCGATTTGTCGAGGTGGGTTTTCTACTTGCCGGCAACAGACATGCGCAACTCACCAGCCTTCCTTTTTCTTCCTTGTTCGTGGTCGTGGTCGTGATGTGGGTGGGTGTATGCGGGCTTGTAATCTTGTCTTGATGAAACGTGTCTTGTACCCTACCCCTATCCGTGATGGGACGGGCATCACCCTGGTCCCACCGGCATGCTACCCCGTTACCTCCGCCGTGATAACGCTTGATCGCTTGTCGCGCTTGTTGTGCGGGTGAATCGCTGACTTTGATTCGCGCATTGCCGGACGCCTGAAACAGTTTACAAGCGTACCGCACGACGCGCCAGGACTCGGTGCTCATCTCGAAGGGATTGCAGATCGGTTCCCCGCCGAGCCCGTCGAGCGCGCCGCCTTGCGCTTCTGCGAGTCGGTTGCACGGTGGCGTGGGAAGCCTGAGCTTGAGACGGTACGTGTCTGCATTCGACGTGTTTGGGCATGTCGGGAGCTGACCGGAAACCCAGTACAAGAAGCCGGCTGCTGCACCTGCCTCATCGCCTGGCCCGTCGATCCCAATTGACCAGTTGATCAACATCCCAATGAGTGCGACACCTAAACCGCCGATCGAGCGATACTTTCACCTTCCTGCGCTCACGCCATCTACGTCGACTCCTACATGGCGTGTATCTGATTCGACACCAACCAACTCGAAGCGGCCGCGTGCACACGACGAGACAGGCACAGGCGACCGCGAGGCGAAAAAGGTCAATGTCGCGTCGGGATCGGGATCGGGCCTAGGGTACGTTGAGGAAGAGGAGTGGGTTGGGCCGTATGGTCTGTGAGCGTGAGAGTCTGGGCCCTGGGTTATTGCGTATGCGCTATCTGAAGTTAAACTTTCGCGTTGCATTTTGATTGGTTATATGGTTCTCGCTTGTCCCCTGTGTTTAGTATGTGTATGTATTATCTCTGATTTCGAAACTATGTTGTACAAGGCAAAGCTGTTACAAAAACAACGAAAATTAAGAATGAAAAGTAACAACTATCACTTGAAAAATGCCCAAGTTACAACATATTCAAAGCGGGGAATACCGAATACAACCACCAGAACCCAGAGCCAACACAAAAGAAACCCACTCCCTAGATACGACTGACAGGTACCGTTCCGTGTGAGTCCTGATCACCGAGTGAATGTACAGGCGGTTGGTGAGGCATCGGCGGCTCTACACGTCGCGGCACATCCCCCCGCTCCACGTCCTCAACATTTTTTCGCTCCTTCTTTGCGTCGTCCTCGACATCACTCAAATCGTACTCGCTTCCCTCGGCCACATCGAATTGGAGTGTATGCCCCGACTTGACTTGAGCCGCGCCTGGAGGCGTCGGGGTGGTGGAGCGAGTAATCTCCTGCATGATCAACACGCCATTGCGCACGTCGCCCGCGCTCCCTCCCGACCCAGACCCAGACCCTTGGTTGCGACCAGTAGGCGCGATACTTCCAAACGTGCTGATCGCGCCGGCGCCCTTTTCACGGAGCTTCTCCGCACGCGCCTGGCGGCGGGCGCCAAACCCAAGAACGTTGGGCCTGGTCGACACGAACATGATAACGTTGACAAGGCCAGAGAGACCAAAGATGCAGAGCACGATCGCCGTCGCGGTGAACGGCGTCTCGGCCGCAGTAGGAGTCAGATCCGGGGGTGCAGAGGGGTCGAATGTCGTCCAGCGTGCAATAGAGAGAGGCAGTACGAGCGCCGTATATGCTGCGGGATAGCTATTTTCGGACAGATAAATGAGGGCTCCTCGCGGGCGGTTATCAAAAACTTACTAGAGGAGCTTGAGC